ATGTTACTTACTGTCTTGCTTCCCCTGGCTTGCTCAGCTTGCTTTCTTATAGAACCCAGGACTACCAGCCCAGGGATGGCACCACCCACAATGGGCTGGACCCTCCCCTCTTGATCACTAATTGAGAAATGCCTTACTGCTGGATCTCATGGAGGCATTTCCTCAAGGGAGGTTCCCTTCTCTGTGATAACTCCAGCTTGTGTCAAGTTGACACACAAACCAGCTAGAATAGGCATACATTCCCTTAAAGGATGCTTCTCTCTTATGCCTTTCTAGCCCAGGACAGATCAGGAAAATATGTATCCCAGGCGGCAGGAGAGTGGATGCTGGAATGGTTAAAGACTAGGTGTCTGAGAGCATGGCTCTAATTCCAGAACCATGGCACCCATGCTACTGTGGGGGGACCCCTGGGAGCTCTGGAGAGGTGCCAGCCCACTGTGCCCCTCTCCTTTCATCCCAGTGGTTTCAGTGGTGACTCAGCCACCTGGGAGAGGAGGCATGGGTGTGTCTACCTTTACACAGGGCTGACCTGAACCAGTGCAGATTGGCGATGGACAGGGAAAGTGGTTCAAGAAACATGGGAGAGCTATGTTGATAATGCCCCCCGAGATCTTGGGCTTGGCCTGGCTGCTGAGTGTCTTGTAGTCCTTCTCAAGAAACCATATCAGGGTCGAGGAGTTAAGAGTGAGTTCCTGGGGACAGTGCTTAGGCCAGAGTGGCTACCACCCGGCATGACCTTCAGAGCTCCACTCACAGTGGAACTTTCAGGTGTGATGGACAGAGGACACAGGACTGGGTACTTCATTCTGGACCCAGAGTCCCTCAGGCCTTGGGGATGGGGGACTACCCTTCTTGAGACCCTCTCAGCCTTAGTCAGCCAGAGGCAGAAGCCTGGGTCCCCTCCAGACACCACTGGGTCTCCCTGTTCTATGCTATCTCCCCCACACTTCTGTAGATAGAATCCACTTCCTCCCCACTTCCTCTGGGTGTTGGCCTACCTCTTCCCCCATCTATAGGTCTGCTGCTGGCTACACTCAGCCTTCTCTCAAGGGCAAACTTTTCTAACAGTGTTTCCTGCCAATGGCTTCTACAATTGGGAAAGGCTGAGAGTTTCCCAAATCACCATATTACAACAGATTACCACATGTGTTGGCTTAAATCGCATCTTTCAAACCCCAGAAGTCAGAAGTCAGAAATGCAGTGTTCAGAGCTCGGGAGACGGCTCAGTGGGTAAATCATGGCTTGTGATTATAAGGATCCTAGTGTGAATCCCTAGAAACCACACAAAAGCCAGGTGTGGTATCCTGCACCTGTGCTCTCAGTGCTGCTGTGTGAGAGGGGACGAGGAGGAGGGTAAACCTCAGAAGCTCTGGGGCATGCTGGCCTGGCACAGGCAACAAAGAGGAGACCTTCTCAAAACAGGTGAGGACTGACTCCCAGGTTGTCCCGACCTTCACAAGTGTGCAAGTCCTGATCCCCCGGCACCACCTCAGACATACACATTTGTACACATAATCCACTCTGTACTCAAGTGTAGTGGTTCACACTTGTGGGCCCATTCAGGAGGCTGAGGCAGCAGACTGTCATGAGATGAAGGCTAACCTGGTCTACACGGTTTCTCTGTGTAGCCCTGGCTGTCCTGGAACTCACTCTGTAGACCAGGCTGGCCTCGAACTCAAAAATCCACCTGCCTCTGCCTCCCAAATGCTGGGATTAAAGGCGTGTGCCACCACTGCCCAGCCACAAGCAAGTTCTAACACAGTATGGATTACAGTATAAGGCCTTATCTTTTAAAAATAATAAAGAGAAAAGGCTGGCAAGGGGCTCACTGCTTCCACCAAGCCTGATAGCCTGAGTTCAACCCCTGGAATCTTCATGGTAGAAGGAGAGAACCAACTCCCAAAAGTTATCCTCTGATTTTCATACAGCATGTATGTTTCACACACACACACACACACACACACACACACACACTCAATCAATCAATCAAGGCTTTTTTTAAAAGTGAAATTTCACCGCGCAGTGGTGGCGCACGCCTTTAACCCCAGCACTTGTGAGGCAGAGACAGGTGGATTTCTGAGTTCGAGGCCAGCCTGCTCTACAGAGTGAGTTCCAGGACAGTCAGGGCTTCACAGAGAAACCTTGTCTTGAAAAACAAAACAAAAAACAAAAAAAAAACTAAAAAAGAAAAAAAAGTGAAATTTCCTCTGTGCCAGGTTCAGGGCTCTCTCCTCCCATGGTTCTGAGAATCAGATGTGTCTAGAATCTTCCAGCTTCATCATCTCTAGGTGTGGCTTTCTCTAATCGCCCCCCTCCATGTCCATTACATTTCATTTCTATTACCAAAATATCTGACAGTTTAAGGAAGGGCAGGCTCACTGTGAATCATGGCACCAGTCCATCATGGCAGGGAAGGTACCACTGCGGAGCTCACAGCATCCTGAACAAAGGATGGGAGCCATTAAGAGCAGTCGGAGGCAGAGAACATACTAGGATCCACTGGCTCGGTATGAATTTCCAAGGTCTGCCTTAGACTTCTCCTGAGCAATTGTCTGACTCTAGCCCACAGCTCCAAGGTCAGCCCCTAAGTGCATGTCAAGTTCCACCTTACACATACGTGCTTTAGCCATCCAGAGGGCGCTCGCTCTGAGGGTCCTTCCTTTGCTCACCTGAGTTGCTGTCCCTCTAGCTGTAAACTGTCCCTCCCAGGAGCTAGGGTGGGTCTGGAGGAGGACCTTCCCTACCTACTTCTGTAGTCCTCTTATAGCTTAGAATTGTAGGCCAGAATCAAACTGTTGCCCTAGGTTAGGTTGGGGTGTCCATCTCCTGGAGCCAGTGGATTAAGGAGGACCCATTTGAAAAGCCATCCATACTGAACAGCAGACTGTACTTTGAGGCATCCTTCCTCAACTGGAGACATCAACCCAGGTAAGCAACATATTACCTAGGACCTGTGGGACTCACAGTTCACAGGGATATTTTTGGCCTTAATTGTTTATCTAGGAAAGGCTTCAGAGAGCCTGCAATTCTGTACTTTGGAGGTTGAAACAGGTGGACTGATCCAGGCCAGCCTGGGCTACAGAGTGAGACCCTGTCTAAAAGCAAAATAAAACCAAGGCTGGAGAGGTGGCTCAGTGGTTAAGGGTGCTTGGCTGCTCTTGCAAAGAAACTGGGTTTGGTTCCCGGAAGCCACATGGCAGTGCATGACTGTAAGCTGGTTCTAAGGGATCTGATGGGCTCCGCTGGCCTCCTCAGGAACCTGCAAGCTTTGGTGCACATAAACACCCAGGCACACATACACACATGGTTAGATATAAAACTGAGTCTTGGAGAGAGGCCTCAATAGTTAAGAACACTTGCTACTCTCGCAGAGGACCTGGATTTGAGTCCTAGTACCAGCATGCTGTCTGTAACTCTAGCTTCAGGGGATCAGATGCCCTCTTCTGTCCTTTTGTGGTACTGCGTGTACACAGTACATAGACATACCTGCAGGCAAAACAACCTATACATATGAAATAAAAACATACAGATCTTTAACCAAATGAAAGCACGTAGTAAATAGTCTTTATGGTCTGGCTTCTTTATTTTTTTTATTTGTATTTTTTATTTTGAGGCAGGATCTCACTATGAAGCCCTGGCTGCCCTGGAACTACATAGACCAGGCTGGACCCACGCTCACACCCTTCTGTCTCTGAGCGATGGGATAGCTGGATTTCTTCCAGTCAGCCTAATTCTTTTGCAAATCAGCTGTTGAGTGGATTCTGTGTGGGAAGACACTTAGTGAAGGACCTCTGGAGTCTCAGGGTGGCAGGTGCAGGAGGCACAACAGAGTGTGGGTGGGCTCCTGGGCTCCTACTTGGCCACCAAGGCAGGAGCAAAGGTGAGAAAGTGAGAAAGGGTGGCCTGTGCCTCCTTTGAGATGGGTGTGGGCTATGGGCAATGTTCCAACTGTAGAAAAGGCAGATGTAAACCTAGGCCTGGAATCAGGATGGGACTGACCAAAGCCAGGCTTCGTTCTGTTCCTGCTACTATGACAATCGGCCTAGACTAAATGTTGGGGAAATGGTGAGAGACCTGTTCCTTACAGCTCTGGAGGGTCAGAGTTCAAGATGGAGATAACAACGCCAGTTCCTCTGGGTTGGCGTCCTGCAGGAAGCCTACATTTCAGAAGACAGACAAAGGCAGACAGTCTGGTTTGTAACCTGTGGGCCTTTGGCGAAAGTACTAATTCCATTCTTACAAGCTGATCTAACCACCCCCTAAACGACTCAAATATTATTAGGACCACTCTGCTCTTGAATTTCAGTTTATAGATTTTGGAGGACCCCAGACATCCCAACCACACTGGGGATGGGTTTTGCCTGGCCACGAGGGACGAGGCTGTCCTTATTTGCCGAGTCCTTGGATGAAGCACACTAGGATCAGAAGTCATGAGGAGACCAGAGAGTGGACAGAGAGAAAGGGTAGGTGAAGAGAGGACTGGGAACTTATCAGAGACCGTTCGGGGCCGAGAAGTGGACAGGCAGTGGGGCCTCTCAGCCCAGGCTCCAGCGCCGCCTTTCTGAAATTTTGGTCAGTTTGGGGCTTCTACGGCCTCATATTCCCCAATTGTAGAACAAAATTGGTTAGGTACCAGGTATCTAGTGCAGGTTCCAGGCATTTGTTCCAGGATGCCGTCCTGGGTAGTCCCGGGACTGTTCTAGGACACTCCTGCCCCACTTAGAGGCGGTGTTTGAGCCGGAATCCTCCGTACCCAGATCGGATCCCGGATCCTCCATAGCCAGTCGGTCAAATCTCCGCGTACGCTCACCAACGAACCCCACCTCTCCTCCTCGATTCCACGCCCACTATACAGCCCCGCCCCCTTTCGGCTTTGGGGCGGGGCCATGCTAGGGCTGTCCGCGGGGAAGCCTAGGCGGTGGAGGTCGGGCCCTCGGTTAAGACCAGTGAGCTCGCAAAGGGTTGGGGTGTCCTGGGAGCTTCGTTCACTCCCTTTTGGGCCTTCGAGGCCTTCGGGTTAGCGAGCCGGCCCCTTAGCGTGGGCCATTTCCGCGGCACGTGGTTTCCAAGGCCCCCGTTGGGTTTGAGAAAAGTTTATGGTTCGCATCATAGCAGCAGGGTACAGTATTGCGGGAGGGCCGAAAGAGTCGGAGATGCTGCAGCCTACCCACTGGAGACCACAGCAGACCTTTTCTGGGCAGTGCTTGTGTCGGAAGACCGTCGTTTTCCCTGACATTGTAGATGCACGGTGTGGAAACGCCCGACCACGAGTCACAGGTCACTGTTGCACACCCAGAAAGGAGCGACATCAAGCCATTTCCAATGCCCCGGGGTGTGCTGCTTCTCAGACAGGCACGCGCTCTCAGTCCCCTCACGGTCTCTACTTGGCGTCATCGTTACCCTAGGCAACATATGCAGGCCCGGAGTCCTGTCCCTTTAAGGAATCCTAGCTACTTGGCCATTTTGGTTTTGCGCGCCCGCCCGCAGTGACGGCAGAACGAACATGGCCCAGGCGGCGCGCGTTGCGTGGGTGCTTGGCTCTAGCCGGTGCACGCTGTCTGAGGGGCTGCTCACACGGCCCTGGCAGCCACTGTCCGCACAGAGCCGGGCCGGCTTCACCAGGGCGGCGGCCGGAAGCCAGGGCGCCGCGGTCCGCAAGGGGAGCCCACGGTTGCTGGGGGCGGCGGCGCTGGCCCTGGGCGGCGCGCTCGGGCTGTACCACACCGTGCGGTGGCACCAGCGTTCCCAGGACCTCCGCGCAGAGCACTCGGCTGCGCAGGTAAGCTTGGCTGGCACGGACTGCTGACGGGGAGCCGGGATTAGCCCTGAACTCTTGAGAGGCCGCAGCGTCAGGAGCAGCCTCTTTCGCCCGCTTGTGACCTTGGGCAAGCGTCTTGGCCTGAAGAGTCCGAGGAGGGTGGTGCTGTTGCCCACGACCTAGAGCTGTATGTATCGCATGCCATGGTCTCTACTGTGATTTAGGGGTGTGTGTATGGCACCGGGAGTAATCTTTATGGAACGAGTGAACCTGACTTCAGACTCAGAACTGGAGGCGTGCTCCAGCTTACCGTGGCTCGGCAGCCCTGTAGACCTTCCACGAGTTGCAGATTCTTAGCCCTTCTCCGCCCTGCCTCCCGTGCCTTTTTCGTGAACCCAGGAACTGAAACTGGAGTGGAGTCCCTGTGGTTCGCTGCTTTCTTCCCTGCCCATCCGATTTCCATTTGAAGACTGAGGGGAGGGGGCTGCAACTGTATCAAGCTCACCTGAAGGCTTCCCTGCAGAGGAGCTAGGTGCAGCCTCCTCCAGGTTTGGAGATCGGAAGTAGATCTCACTTCTGACCAATGCTGCCTGGCCAGTTGGTCAGCTCTGCCGGTTACTCAGAAAGAGTTGGAGAAGTGAGAGGTCGGGGTGGAGGAGGCCTTAAGGACTACTGAAGCTGGAGGAAGACACCTTGGAACTGTCTTCTGTCCCATTTGGGACAGGAGGAAGATGGACTCGCAAGCGCAAGCGCGAACACACGCGCGCACACACGCACACACACGCACACACACGCACACACACGCACACACACGCACACACACGCACAGATCTTCCTGGCCCTGTGGTGTACCAGCTGGGCATTTGCTGCTAGGCTGTCTGTCAGTCCCTGAGCCCTTTGCCCACCCTCCGTTCCCTCCACCTTTCCTCTTATCTATTTTCAGGGTCACCTTAGACGACCCCCTGAAGAAAGGTTTGCTTGGGGGTGGGGGGGGGAGGTGGAGCAAGAGTTCTGGGACTCCAGGTGTTACAGGCCCTGTTTGTTTTCTCCCTAGCTGTCCCTGTCCAGCCGCCTGCAGCTGACCCTGTACCAGTACAAGACATGTCCATTCTGCAGCAAAGTCCGTGCCTTCCTGGACTTCCACTCCCTACCCTATCAGGTGGTGGAGGTGAATCCTGTGAGAAGGACTGAGATCAAATTCTCCTCCTACAGGAAGGTGCCCATCCTGGTGGCCCAGGAAGGAGACAGTTTGGTGAGCCTTGGGGATCTGTCTCATGCCTCCTTTCTGTCCCCAGCTACCTAGGAGTCTCCCCAGATCTGAGCCTGCTTTATACTCTAACAGAACTTGTGATTCCTGGGTCTCTACTGTGAGCAGGGAGAAGAGCCGGGGAGGAAAAATGGTGCCTAAGTGTGGGTGGGTGGTGCTACCTGTAGTCCTTGAGTCTTGATGCTAGTCTGTGCAGCATGGCTGGATACAGTTACAGCCACAACCCTGAAACAAATTTAGAATCTTTTCCTTTCCTATTAGCTGAATCTTGGTGATAGCCTCTGGATGCACTTAAGATGAACAAACATCTTAAGTTTTGTAGTGTTTGTAGTTAGGGTAGTCTGGATCTGAGGTGTGCCTCTTCCACTCACTAGCTGTCTTAATGAGGATTTTTATTGCTGTGATGAAACACCGTGTTTTTATTGCTGATGAAATACCACGACCAAAGGCAAGTTGGAGAGGAAAAGGTTTATACTTCCAGTGAGGGCAGAAATTCATGCAGGGCAGGAACCTGGAGGCAGGGGCTGCTGTAGAGGCCATGGAGGAGTGCTGCTCACTGCTTGCTCCCTGTAGCTTGCTCAGCCTGCCTTCTTATAGAACCCAAGACCCTAGCCCAGGGTGGCACTGCGCACAATGAGCTGGGCCCTCCCCCATCAATCTCTAATTAAGAAAATGTCTACAGCCTGATCTTATGGAGGCATTTTCTCAACTGAAGTTCCCTCCTTTCAAATAACTAACTGTAGCTTGTGTCAAATTGACATGAGGCTAGCCAGCACACTAGCCCTGTGTTGACCAAGCCAGCTCAGTCAGTCAACAGTCCAGCACAGGAGTGAGGACTAAAAGAAAAAGACAGCTGACCGGTGGTGGCGCACGCCTTTAATCCCAGCACTTGGGAGGCAGAGGCAGGCAGATTTCTGAGTTTGAGGCCAGCCTGGTCTACAGAGTGAGTTCCAGGACAGCCAGGGCTACACAGAGAAACCCTGTCTCGAAAAACCAAAAAAAAAAAAAAAAAAAAAGAGAGAGAGAGAAAAAAGAAATAGGCAATGTTGCAGCATGACCCCAGCCAGTTCTGAGGCTGAAGGCTGAGACGGGTTTATTTTTTTTCCCAATTTGCTTTTAAACCATTTTAACTAAATACAGGTATTTAGATCAGTTCTAGGTTGAAGAACTAGCAGTACAATAAATGCAAATAGTCAAGGAACTAGCAAGGCAATAAACTAAGTCCCGAGATCACTGTTTGTAAGGGCTTGTTGGGATAACAAAAATATCTGAGCCTACTTTCCTGTCCTAGTCCATAGTCATATTCATGCCTGAGGCCTACTTCTTTGTTCTAATCTAAGATTTAGATTCCTGACTGAAATTACTTCCCTCTTTTAGCTTAAAATTAGATTCCTGCCTGAACTTACTTCCTTGTCATGGCCCAATGTCAGATTTCTGCCTAAAGCCTTGTCCTTGGCCAATGTCAGATTCCTGACTAGCAGCCTCAAAGGCTCCACACTGTGTGCTGACTTTCACCTCTCTGGGCTGCTGTTTTGTTTTGGGTAGAGTCTTGTTATGTGGCCTACATTGTGTCTCTTGTGTGCTAGGGTTATGGGCATGTACCCATGCCTAGTGTTGGGGTTTGTTTGCACATTTCTTTTTTTTTTTTGGTTTTTCGAGACAGGGTTTCTCTGTATAGCCCTGGCTGTCCTGGAACTCACTTTGTAGACCAGGCTGGCCTCGAACTCAGAATTCCACCTGCCTCTGCCTCCCAAGTGCTGGGACTAAAGGCGTGCGGGCGGCACCACTGCCTGGCCGTTTGCACATTTCTTTTGTTTTTTGTTATTTAGATAGGCTCATTGTGTTCCCCTTGTTCTGAAACTCAATCTAGGTTTGTTTGTTTGTTCTTGTTTCTGTTTTTGCTGCGACAGGGTCTCTCTGTGTAGCCCTGGCTGTTCTGGAACCAGCTCTGTAGATCAGAGTGGTCTTAAACTCACAGAGATCCACCTGTCTCTGCCTCCTTAGTGCTGGGATCAAAAGCATGTGTCACTTTGCCTAGATTGTTTGTTAAAAGTTTTAACTAAGGATGGCTGAGATGGCTTTGGGTAAAAGGTGCTTACTGCTAAACCCGATAAGCTGAGTTTAAGTCCCTGGACTCCGGTAAAAGGAGACCTACTGTGTGAGCTGTCTTATGGCTGCCACCTCTGTCATTCACAAAGAAAATAAAATGTAATTTGAAAAACAAAAAAAGCTTTGTTAGGCTTGGTGTGTGTCTTTACGCCCTGCATCTGTGAGGCAGAAACAGGCAGATCTCTGAGTGTTCAGGCCAGCCTGGGTTACATAATAAGACCCTATCTCAAAAAAAAAATTTTTTTTTTAATTACACATTTGTTTATTTACTATTTAGCATGTGTCTGTGGGTATGCATGAGGCACCACAGTTTATGAGTGTTTATTTTATTTTTTTTTCAAAGTAGGGTAGCAGCCCTGGCTGTCATGGAACTCGATTTGTAGGCCAGGCTTGGCCTTGAACTCAGAGTTCACCTGTCTCTGCCTCTCAAGTGCTGGATTTGGGTTGGTTTCTTAATTAGTCCATGGGATCCCCTGCCTTGGGCTGTGAGTACAGTAAGGATACAATCCTGCTACTGGGTTGGTACTCTGTTTGCAGCATTGGGTCCTTCCCAGCCGTTTGGTGCCGAGAGGCCAAGAGAGAAGGACTAGGGTCACATACCAGGCTCCCCCAGCCTTACATCCCCAGTGGCCATACTCTGTCACCTAGTGAGCTCAGGACGTGAATTTTGGGGTGCCTCTGTGGTGGATTTACAGTGCCCAGGTTCGAGGACCAGATACCTTGGGTGCTGTTTTTATTTAAGGAGCTTAGTGCTTCCATGCTAGCCAGAGCGGCTGATCCAAACCTGTCTTTTGGGCACGGGTGTGGCTTAATAACAGGGCTTGTCCCATATGCCCAGGGCTCCAGGTTCTGTCCCCAGCATCACAAAAGACTGTTGTTTCTTCTCTTCCAGCAACAGCTCAATGACTCCTCAGTCATCATTAGTGCCCTCAAAACCTACCTGGTTTCAGGGTAAGTTGATCCTGGGAGGCCCTGCAGGGCCTTATCTAAGGGTGGGGCTGCTGTAGACATTTCTAGAAGAGACCAAAGGTGTCTTACTCCAGTGCCTGGCTGCCTTAGTTCCTGCATCTCCTAGCAGGAAAGCATTCCTCCTGTCTAACCTAGCCCCTTTTGCTGCTAGTGAGGCCACGTAGGTGGGTTGTGACCGGGTCAGGCTGGGTTGGGCTGGGTTGGTAGGTCATGCATGGCAGGAGGACGGAGTCAGGCTGAAGCTGTAGCCTTCCCCTGAAGGCAGCCCCTGGAAGAGGTCATCACTTACTACCCACCCATGAAGGCCATGAATGACCAGGGCAAGGAGGTGACTGAGTTCTGCAACAAGTACTGGCTCATGCTTGACGAGAAGGAGGCCCAGCAGATGTACGGCGGGAAGGAAGCCAGGACGTGAGTGGGTCTGCGGCTGCATGATGGGTGGGCTGGACCAGGCAGAGCCAGATGCTCAAGGGTCAACTGTGTTTATAAGGGTTGCATATCAAATACCCTGCATATTGGATGTTTATATTACATATTCATAACAGCAAATTTACAGTTATGAAGTAGCAATGGAATAACTTTATGGTTGGGGTCACCACAACATGAGGAACTGTATTAAAGGGTCTCAGAGTCAGGAAGGCTGAGAACCACTGCTCTGGGTTGTCTTATGGGAGACAGGATGTTGGGCAGAGCTCTGGCCCTGCCTCGGGGACAGGGCAACACTCTCTTGTCCTGTATCCTCAGGGAGGAGATGAAGTGGCGGCAGTGGGCTGATGACTGGCTGGTGCATCTCATCTCTCCCAACGTGTACCGAACACCTGCTGAGGCCTTGGCTTCCTTCGACTACATTGTCCGCGAGGGCAAATTTGGGGCTGTGGAGGCCACCATGGCCAAGTATGTGGGTGCAGCTGCCATGTACCTCATCAGCAAGCGCCTCAAAAGCAGGTAATGGCTCATGCAGCATATGCAGCAGAGGGGTCTGCTCGCCCCAGTCCTGGCATGGCGTCTGGGTAGCATCTCTCAAACCCCTCAGGGAGGGAAAAGGGAAACTGTGGCCTAGAGAAGACAAGCCAGGCCTGGGACCCAGCACGACTGATCACTCTCTAGCCCAGGCTTTGGGGTCAGAAGCCGTGGCCCTACCCTGTGCCTCTATTTCTGTCGGGGTTCCTTTTCGTCTTGAGCCACACACTGTCACTCAAGGGGACAGGTGCTCAGTGAGTGCCATCCCCTCACCTAGGACCACCCCAGTCACCCTGCCTTTCTGCTCTATGCAAAGGAGGATGTGTTCAAGCGGGTGGGGAAGGAGTTCCCTGACCAACTCTTTTCTCTACCCAGGCACCACCTGCAGGATGATGTACGGGTAGACCTCTATGAAGCAGCCAATAAGTGGGTGACAGCCGTGGGTAAAGACCGGCCGTTCATGGGGGGTCAGAAGCCTAACCTTGCTGACCTGGTATGTTTGATAGTGATAGTTAGAGTGGCCTGCCTTTGGGGTGGGGTGGTGGGGAAGGAAAAGCCCAGGGAAGGTCCACATTTTGGAGTCCCCTGTTCCCCATAGGAACTGTGTCTGTTTCTCTGTTTCTCTCTCTCTCTCTCTCTCTCTCTCTCTCTCTCTCTCTCTCTCTCTCTCTCTCTCT